ACTTTTCGCATTTTAATGCAATGTTTCATTGTAACAGGCCCATCTCCCCCTACGGAGGGGGGGGGGCTGTGGTGGCCCGGGGGCAATATGAAGACTTCGGTATCAGACTTGGAGTATTCGAGGACTCTTTAAAAAGAGAAACGGTATGTCCAAGAGCCGCCGAAGCTACTATAAAAAATAAAGGTACGGACCCCCTAAATAACCTTTGGGCCCCCCTAACTTTTGACAGGGGGGTCAGATCGACTTCCGGTTTGCGCCAAAAATTTTCTTTTTTCATGCTCTTTCTAACGATGTATCACATGATGGGGGTTGCCATTTGAAATTTTNGGGGGGGGGGGGGGGGGTGGAGAACTGAAAAGTACCTCAAAAAGTTTCCCCCTCGATATGAGGAAGGACGCCACAAACCGCAAATCGATATCATAATTAGAGCTAAAGTTATGGCCAGTGGTGCGTAACTTTTGAATAACCCTGTATGTGCTTTTTTCCAGTATTTAGGTCTAGAAAATTTCTTTTAAACGGAAAATTTACAAAGATCTCAATTTTTTATTGTTCGTCTTTTTTCGCATCCAACGAGTGGTCCATTAAGCTGGGGAACCAAACGGTTCCGGAGTTATGATCGATTGAAGTTTCCGCTCAACGTGCGCCGACCGATTTTCGCGCGCAAAAAAGTCGAATTTGACTGTTATTAAATCAGATTGACTGTTCAAACTGAGCGAAATGCATTATTAGGGACTCTTGAGGGTCGCTGAGTTGATTACGTAGCATGGTGTCAACGATCATGGTGTCAACAAACAGTTTTTCTAAGTTTTTGTTGACACCATGATCATCCAAAAATAAAAAATTCTGACCCTCATGAAAAATGATCACGGTGTCAACGATCACGACGTCAACGAAACTTAAAACTTGCCTCAATAACACCTTTTAAATCTCAAGTCTTGTTTTTCTTGTGTTATTCACTCTAACCTAACCTAACCCAACCTAACCTAACCTAACCTAACCCAACCTAACCTAACCTAACCTAACCTAACCTAACCTAACCTAACCTTACCTGACCTAAACTAACCTAATCCAACTATACGTGACCCAGACCTCTCCTGTACACTTAATATTTTAATTTTACTCACAAGGAAGATATTTTTCTGTTTGTTGACACCGTGATCGTTGACACCATGCTCAGGGCCCATTTTTGCGTTTTACTGCCTGATCACGACGTCAACAATCGTTGACTCCATGATCAGATTTTTGGTTTGTTGACACCATGATCGTTGCCACCATGCAACGTTACCGCTGAGTTCAGAAATTACAGATACTTCCTAAAAATTCACGTTTTTAAAATTACAGCTCCGTACCGGACCACTGAGCGGCCGGTCGGCGCTCAGTGGGCCTCTAAAATAGCGCTACAGAGCTGTAATTTTAAAAACGTGAATTTTTCGGAAGTATCTGTAATTTCTGAACTCAGCGACCCTCAAGAGTCCCTAATAATGCATTCCGCTCAGTTTGAACAGTCAATCTGATTTAATAACAGTCAAATTCGACTTTTTTGCGCGCGAAAATCGGTCGGCGCGCGTTGAGCGGAAACTTCAATCGATCATAACTCCGGAACCGTTCGGTTCCTCATCTTAATGGACCACTCGTTGGATGCGGAAAAAGACAAACAATTTAAAAGAACTGGCTTTGGTTCAAATAAAAAATTGAGATCTTTGTAAATTTTTCGTTTAAAAGAAATTTTCTAGACCTAAAAACTGGAAAAAAGCACATATGTTGACTTAAAAATGTGATATTGGGATTGCGACCTTTAGAATCTTAAAGTATGCAATTTTAGACGATTTTTCGTCCAAACCGGACCTCGATATCTTTCTTCGTTCGAGAGATATCGAGGTTAACAGGTTTTGACTTCCACCCCCGCCCCCCTAGCTCCCCCCAAAATTTTTTGGGGGTCTGAAAATTTGAGAAAAGAAGCGCTCAAGTATGAGTAATCAATAGACAAAGTCTGAAGAAATTCCAGAGGGGGGGGGGCCAAAAAAGCCGTTTTTGCATCAAGCTCTTTTGGGGGGCGGCCCCCCTTAAGGGGAGCAGGGGCTAACTTTTTTTTTTCAAATGGCAATCCCTTTTTTGTGATACCTCTTCGAAAGACAATAAAGAAGAAAAGTTTTGGCGCAAACCGCATGTCAAAATGTTGATTTTTGACAAAATGGCGGCCGGTTAAAGTTCAAAATGGCGAAAATTTGGCATCTCCGTTTTTTATCGGCGGATTGGTCTGAAACTCTGAATCCTTGGGTTTTTCGGGACGAGAAAAATGATTCTGGCATTAGTTTTTCAGAAATGTCAGTCCTTTTCAAAATGGCGGCTTAGAGCGGGAAGTGGATATTTAGGCTGCTTATCGTTGGATTTGAATGAGACTTTGTATCCGGGGGTATTTCGGCACGAGAAGTACGAATCTTTCATTGGATTTTTGAAATTTCGAAAAACTTTAAAATGGCGGCGAAAAAATGACGGGAAATCCATATCACGTCTGTTTACCGATGGATTCGCCCAAAAGTCGGTACTCTGGTGGTTTTTGGCTCACTGTGGTGGCACGGTTAGCCCAATTATCTATTAAATTATCGAGCCCAATAATATCTAATTTCTATTATCTTTTTGCATAAGATAATATGAGAGCTAACACTGAAATTGGGAACTGATGATGTATAATGTAAATGATATCTTAAGTAATTACAAATCCAAAGTAAATGAAATTACAACAAACCATAATAATTGAGGAATTCTTTGGTAAAAGTTCGTATAAGATTTCCAATGCTACTAAGGTTGTGCAATGTAGTTTTGTAGTCGTAAGTAATTTATCCGACAGTTCTGCTATGAATTTTTCCCTGAATCTGTTCTAAGTTTTTCCTCATTATTTCCTCAGATTTGGGTGAAACTCGGTTTCCGGGAGATTTTTGGAACAAGAAAACCGAATTTGGAATTAGTTTTTCGAAAGAACCCATTTCTTCAAAAAGTCGGGCATGAAAATGGCGGTTAACGGGAAAACTACAAGTATATATATTTTTTACCCGTGGATTTGCAAAAAATTGGAATCCGGGAGTTATTTGGCACGAAAAATGCGAATCCGGCGTTGATTTTTCGTAAGGTCGGCCACTGACGGAAAATTAGTCGGAAAAGTCTGAAATGCCCTCCCAACTTCACTATGTGTGTAAGAAATACGCGTTTTTTTAAGGCTTCCTGCTTCAAAAACGATACTTTCGCACAAATGAACATTTCGTGAGAAGAGTCATTCCATCCAACCCTTGCGCACCAGAATGCCACACAATATTCAATATGACTGACGCTCCCGCGTGCTAATTTTAAGGAAACTTCTTGATCCTCATTGTCATCGTCCTTAATGATGTCGGCCTTGTTGAATATTGTGTAGCATCTTACTGTAAAAGGGTTCTCTTTTCACGGAATGTTCACATGTGGGATCGTACCGTTTCGGAAGAGGAAGCTTAAGAAACATATATTTCTTACGCGGATTGTGAAGTTCAGTGTGCATTTCAAACTTTGCCAATGCGCTCATTTTCATTTTTGAGCCATTTTCCAATAAAAATAAATACTTTTTTTTAAGTGTCCGTAATTTTGCCAACGTGTTTTAAAAGGCTCAGTCCAAGACTGAGAACTCATTTTAGAGAGAAAAAGCTCGTCCGGCGAGCACAAATTTTCTCGTATGAGAGTATGCTGTTTGGTGCAACACCAGTTACGACCAGTCAGGAGAGCAACTGCAGATGCGTTTCAGGTCTAGTTGGACCCACTATCAGTGCAGCGCAGCCCTCCGACTTTTCTGCTGAACTCTTCTTTCTACTCAAGCTGAAGTTTGCAACAGGCCCATTATGCTGAAAGGAACTACGTAAAATAATTAATTAAATTTGAAAGATGTATGTTCACATTGAATTTGCTAGCTTTGAAAAAATAAAGAAAATTGAATCTGTTGTTCTCTGAGGAGTACACGACTGGTAAATGACTGTGCCCTTCATCTTGTCATTATGGAAATCAATAATCCCACTCCGCTGCACTCTCTGCATCCTCGTTGTGATTTCCCCTCTCTTAAGATGATTAACTTTTCCCTTCCCACCGGACAAAGAATTTTTGTCTTTAAAGTTTATAGCTGCAGATAATTGTCACTAAAATTTTATATTATTTTAAAAAAAACCAAGAAATTGTGTTGAAAAATTCTACTTACTACAAGGAGAAGAAGACAGAGAAATTCCAAGTGCAATAAGAACCAGCAGGTTGAAAATCTACGGAAGTATTTTCTTGGGGGGCCAAATGGACTAAACTGAATTAGATCACTGTGCGGGCAGATGACAACATCACGCCTAGCAAACTTTTATCTGTTGATTTTCTTAAAGCTGCATTTTTTTAACAGGAAACTTCAAACCTATTTTATTTGAAATTTTTAGAAATGTTTTGTACTGCAATGCCTGTAAAACAATCTTCAGATTCTGACATTATCATCCCTTTTCCCACACGGTGCATCTGAACAAGTTTAAATTTTTTGACGAGTCACAAGCAAAAACTCTTCAGGTTCTTGAAGTAGAGTGTCTACTGAGTCACTTTAGCCAAAAAGAAAAAAATTCTGTCAAGCTCCTGGAAATTAAAGTCGATTTAAAGGTATTTAAAGGTTTTTGTGCTAAAATAGCCAAATTACCCATAGCAAGGTCCGTCATATTATTTAAAATAAATTTTCTTCCTGGATATAACATCCCCCTGGAAACCCGAAGTTTTCGAAAGTGTATGCAATTTGGCTCTAAGGGCTCATTTCAAACCCCCAAAATTCACTATATGGTTAAAATTGGTAGTCTAAGTATTCGGAGCCTTAAAGTATGCATATTTAAGAAACTTAGGCATTATATACAGGAAGAACCTTTTCGAAAACTTCAGTTTTCCAGGGGGATGTTATTTTGTTTTTAGTGTATTTTCCGAAGGAAATACACTATTGCGTTCTCCCCTGATGTCAGACCTGGACCAAAGACCATGTAATGAGCATCGATCATGGGTCGTAGATTACGAGTATGCATACCGTTTGAATTCATGTATATATATATATATATACACTTATAAGTGTATTTTCTGAAGGAAATTAGTGTATTTTCGAGGTTTTTTTAATGCTGTTTTTTCTAGAGTCGTCAATGAGTAATCCTGAAGGGCGTTTCCGATCACGTAATTGACATTTTGACTGTTCGGGGGGGGGGGGCATCTGGCTTTGCTTTGCCTCTCTCACAGTTTCTGAAAATGCTTGAAAATTATATTTATTTTGGATATTTTGGTTTTTCAATGTAGTAGGGAATTTTCAAGCGTTTTCAGAAACTGCGAGAAAGGCAAAGCTAAGTCTGATGCCCCCTCCCCCACCTGAACAGTCAAAACTAGGGGGCTACGCCCCCTGGGCGCTACGCGGCCCAACCCCGTGAAGGCGCTCCGTGCCATCAATGGGCCGCTAAGCGGCCCTATTTTTACCCTCCTATCAGTGTTAGTTTTATTTTTCCCCTCAAAAATTACGATATGAGGTATACTTTAATTTTAAACTTTACTTAAAATTACTTTAAAATTAAAAGGACGCGTTTTGGAATGACTGATTGATGAAATATTGCAGTAAAACAATGAACAATGATAATCAGGTAATAATTAAGATTTCATGAGTCGGGGATCGATCCCACATTGAGTTCATTGTGGACGCACTCGACGTCTTAGACGACTCGGCCACCGCTCTACTTGAGGATTACGGCGCGATTCTTGTGGAGATAAGTGTAGAGCTGATGCGCAGGCTACACAGCTACTGCGCAACCTCCTTGACCACTGCGCAACCTCCTTGACCACTGCGCATCCTCCCGCGCATAGCGGTAGCAGCACGGGAGCATTCAGTAAACTCACTCACTTTTATAAAGTGATTTTAAAAAAACCTGGGTCCTTTTTCCAAAATCTGATTAGAGCGGGCTCATCTTGGGCCTATTACCTGTCGATTTACGCAAGAATCATGGAAATCGGCCCGGTAGAAAGCTCAAACGAACTATGACAAAAAGTATAAATTTACATTGTTTAAATGGGAGAATTCGCAACTTTACCACGTAATATAAAAAAACCTGGGCCACATTTTGAAAATCTGAAAAGAGTTGGCTTATCTAGACACAATTGCCCGTCGATAGCCACAAAAATCTTGAAAATCGGCCCGGTAGAACGCTGGAACTAAGCGTCACCAGTTTCGCAAAATTAGGAGGTCTTGGAGCTTATAGTATAGATGTCAATTATGTAATCATAAATGCCCTTCAGGATTACTCATTGAAGACTGTAGAAGTAACAGCTTTAAAAAATAAAAAAAATCATCCCCCTGAAAACCTGAAGTTTTCGAAAATGCAATCAATTTTTGGCTCTAAGGGCTCATTTTAGGCCCCCAAAATTCATCATATGGTTAAAATTAATAGTCTAAGTATTCGGAGGCTTACAGTATGCATATGTAAGAAACTTAGGCATATTCAGGAAGAAAATTTATTTTAAATAATATGATGGGCCTTGCTATGGGTAATTTGGCTATTTTAGCACAAAAACCTTTAAAAATACCTTTAAATCGACTTTAATTTCCAGGAGCTTGACAGATTTTTTTTTCTTTTTGGCTTAAGTGACTCAGTAGTCACTCTACTTCAAGAACCTGAAGAGGATTTGCTTGTGACTTGTCAAAAAATTTAAACTCGTTCAGATGCACTGTGCCTAGGTATGATCACTTATGATTGTGTTTTTGTGTATCAAATTGAATATCGTAACTCTCAAAATCATTCATATTTTATTTTACAGGACTGAATTTTTAGGTAAGTGGTTCCACATGCTACCAGTCGATGGCTACAAAAATATTCATGCCGCTTACATCTACAACTGTAATACTTGGGTTAGAGAGTACACTAAATTTCATGATAGAATTTTGTCTCCTTTGAAGGTGAGCCATACTCAGTGCAAATAAGTTTTTAATCGGACCATTTGGTCAAATAAGTTTGAAAATTTGAATATTTAAGGTTTGAGTTTAAATTGCATATCAGAAAAAGTACTCGACATTTTCTATTATTTGCCTAGCCCTAGATTTTAGTATCACCTTTGTTGTATCACGGAGTTCATTTTACTTTAGGGAAATAATTCTTATTACGAGACAGAATTTTGTATTAACACACTAACTGCCACGCCGGTCCTTAAAGACTGTCACTAATGAAATTTTTTATTAAATCATTTCCGCTAAGTAGACAGATTGCATATCTGAACCTCATGTTACACCCCTGTCCAAGAAATAACGCTATCGCTGCACATTGGTTCCAGAGCCCAATCTAGGCGGCATTAATTCGAAAAAATGACATTTTGAATAAATGGAAAATAGCACTACTGGTTGACACCACATACTCTGGAGAGTAATTCGGCCGAATGTCATGATGATTGAATGAGTAATAACGTATTGATAAGCTTTCAAAGGAGAGCACGCTGGCCGTCTCTCTGCGGTTCTATCTGTTTCCTCACTTATCACAGTAAAGTGGAGTTTCTACTTGAGGTGCATAGCCTTTGAGGCTGGCATTCGAACATTTAAGTTAATTTTAAGGATTACCATGATTCTATAATATCTTTAGATCAAGTCTAAAGCTCTAGATAAACCCTAGGACCAGTGTTCGAAACTCACCTTTGAGTTTTAGGAGCCATGTGGCGCTTCAAACCTGATTTTTAGGTGCCATTGAAGATTTTTAGGGGCCAAATTGACTTTTCGCCTACATACGACGGCGCATTTAGTGAAAAGTTAGACGCAAGATGTTTTTGTAGCAAAACTAGTAAGTAGCTGTAACTTGGGGGAGACAAAAGCACTAAGAATGAAATCGTGAAAAATAAGAAAAGCAAGCTTTCACTTGTAGTGCTGAAAATTCTGAGTTTTTTCAGTTCAAATAGATTTGTTTTTTTTTCTTTATGCGACTTCCTGGGATAATCCAGATTTTTAGGGACCACGTTGGTGCAGAGCCTTCATTTTTTGGGCGCCCTAGCCGATTTTATAGGCGGATCTGGCGCGTTGGCGCCTGTGAGTTTCGAACACTGCCTTGGACATAACACCATTTTACGTTAACCTCACGCAATTCTCCAGATAAATGGCTAAAAACAACTATTTTTTTCACCCTCCAACACCATTCAAACGGCCATTTCTCAGTAGTACTGATTCTGGGCATGATATAAAAACAATATCTTGTGCCTTTTTCTGCCGGTTTTCGAAATACAGTCTTGTAAAGGTCGCTCGCTCAGTTTTCATGAATACTGGATGTAGCATGTTATGGGTGGGTGATATTGTTCAATCTCTCAGGCAATGTTATAAAACCACTAGGGGGCTACGCCCCCTGGCCGCTACGCGGCCCAACCCCCCGAAGGCGCTCCGCGCCATCAATGGGCCGCTTCGCGGCCCTATTTTTACCCTCCTATTAGTATTAGTTTTATTTTCCCCCTAAAAAAATTCGATATGAGGTATACTTTATAGAATGAAATAATTTTTGGTTTTGATGAATAAAGAAAAAAAATTTTTTTGAAGTCAAAAGGACGCGTTTTGGAATGACTGCTTGATGAAATATTACAGTAAAACAGCGAACAGTTTGAATCAGGTAATTTTTAAGTAACTCTGAAGTCGGGGATCGAACCCACACCTTGATCAATGTGGATACTTCCGACGTCGTAGACGACTCGGCCACCGCTCATCTTGAGGTAATCGGCGGAAATCTTGTGTAGATAAGTGTAGAGCTGATGCGCAGGCTACACACCTACTGTGCAACCTCCTCGACCACTGCGCATCCTCCCGCGCATAGCGGTAGCAGTCCCGGAGCACTCTGTAAATTCACTCACTTTTATAACGTGATTTTAAAAAAACCTGGGTCCTTTTTCCAAAATCTGATTAAAGCGGGCTCATCTAGAGCCTATTACCTGTCGATTTACGCAAAAATCATGGAAATCGGCCCAGTAGAATGCTCAAACGAACTATGACAAAACACATAAATTTACATTGTTTATATGGGAGAATTCGCAACTTTACCACGTAATATAAAAAAACCTGGGCCATATTTTGAAAATCTGAAAAGAGTTGGCTTATCTAGAGACAATTGCCCGTCGATAGCCGCAAAAATAATGAAAATCGGCCCGGTGGAACGCTGGAACTAAGCGTCACCAGTTTCGCAAAATTAGGAGGTCTTGGAGCTTATAGTATAGATGCCATTCCAAGATATTTATCCAAAGAGAGGTCTTTTTAAATATTTTTCTAAAAAATTTACGAAAAAGATAATTTTCACGGGCCTGCAAAACTTTTAGGAGACATAAGTTTTTGTGCTAAAAACAATCAAATACTCCCAAAAACAGTTGAAATCAACTACATTGTCACCCTCTGACACCTTTTAAACAGTCATTGCTCGTTAGTAGTAATCCTAGGCATTATGTAGAGACAAATATCTTTTGCCAGTTCTAGGCAAACAAAATATGTAACAACATTTTAAAGTGAATGTTGCTCTCGAATTTGAAAATCAATGAGTATTGAAGTGAAGTGCCTTCTTCCTGCTCAATGGTTGAAATAGTATAATCAGGGAGACACCCTTTTATTTTATGTTTGTACTACTGTTTCCTGCTACTTCCTACGCCTTCCTTCCTACCGCAACATTCCAGGAGTAGGTCGTCAAACTAGATCACGTTGATTCGATACTTCGTGAAGCCATGTAATGTGACATACCCCCCCCCTACCCCAGCAAAAAAATTACCAACAGGAAATTAACTTTAGTAGAATAGTTGATTTTTCTTGATGAGTAAACAATAAATTTGTCAAAATTATCATAGTTCAAGCATAGAGGCAAGTTTTTAAATTAATAATCCCGTAATGAGTGTGAATTTGCTATTTTATGCATATTTACCACATTGTAGTTAACGACAGGGTATTTACTTTAAATTCGTGACCAGCTACCCAAGAAACACTTATAAACATATATTGCACCTGCACGCCAATAAAGGTGATATTCTAATTAATGCCGCCTAGATCGGGCTCTGGATCTGGAACCAATGTGCGCTGCCTTAAAGAAATCTCTGTCATCCTTGCAAGTTTTTCGCACCTCTCAACATGCCTCGAATTTTAAGGCAAACTTTGGCAGATAACATGTTAAAATATTGTAGTGCAAATTAATGGCAGTCCAGTAAATGAAGCATTTTGATGGCCAAAAATTAAAGTATGGCTGGATTTAAGCTCAATTGATTCTACTTCTAAAATGGTGTTTTTAACCAAAATTCCCGGTACATCCCTCAGGGGGATCACGCCAGTGGTCGGGAAAAACTAAAAATTGGACACATTTTCAAAAATTCACCATGGAATAAGAAATTCATTTGAAAACTAGACTTGATTTTGAAAATGAAGGTAATTGAGTTCCATTTTCGTATTAGGTATGGTTTTGAATATATCGAAGGAAGTCAAAATGTGAGTAAACTTAAAAGAAATGAAAAATTGAGAATTGACCGTATGGGGGACTGTATTGTCACAGGGTTAGCAATCCTGCGGACCCTAGCTGGTAACCCCTGCCTCAAAGGGGCCATGGAGATGGTCACCGGCTTCAAGGCGTATGAACCACCCAGGGAAAGGGCAGATTCGGTTCCTGGCCCGCCAATTAAAAATGGCGGGAATTTCAAATTTCGTCCCTTTTCTAAGCTCCCAGGTAGAGATTATAAAAAAAAAAATCTGGGTCATATTCCCAAAATCTGGTTACAGCGGGCACATCTAGGGACTATCACCTGTCGATAACCGCAAAAATTATGGGAATCGGTCCAGTAAAACAATCAAACGAACTATGACAAGAAATAAAAATTTACATTGTTTAAATGGGAGAATTTGCAACTTCACCGCATAATATAAAATAACTTGGGTCATCTTTTCAAAATCTGAACAGGGCTCATCTAGAGACAATTGCCTGTCGATAGCCGCAAAAATCAAGAAAATCGGTCCGGTAGAACGCTGGAACTAAGTGTTACCAGATATACAATTTTAGGAGGCCTCGGAGCTTATACAGGGTGTCCCCAAAGTCCGTACCCCTCCCCCCTCGTAACTTTTTAACGATTAGAGATAGAAAAACGAAACTTTGGGAATGTTTCTATCTTAAAGGGGACCATCTTCTAGGGGGGTCAAAATTTTTGTCCCCCCCTCAGGGGGGCGGGGGGGCCCCCAACTTTTTTTTTCAAAGGTAACCCCTATCTTGTGGTACGTCATTAGAAAGAGCATAAAAACGTAAGAATTTTGGCGCAAATCGCAAATCAATATCTTAATTTTTGACCGAGTTATGATAGGTCAAAGGTCCAATTTGACCTATTTTCAAAAAATCATTACTCCGGTTCAAATTATCGCACAGAATAAAATAAAACGGGCAAATTTACCACATTGTAAGCACTTTTAAGTAAAAATCACAGAAATTACTTCAAACTAATTTTAAGGGGGGTTTTGGACCCCCAAATACGTCATTTTAAAGGTCATACGATTTTCTCGAGAAATGAGCCAATTTCCCCTTACTTTTCCTCAACATTATCTTATTAAGTTCAAAATTAGTTCAACATTGCGTTTTCAAGTCCCCAAATTTCGGGCAAATTTAATAAATAGAAATTTAAGGTGATTCAATTCAACCACTTAAATTTCATTTTTTTTTTTAAACTTTATTCGAAATTTGGGGACTTGAAAACGCAATGTTGAACTAATTTTGAACTTAATAAGATAATGTTAAGGAAAAGTAAGGGGAAATTGGCTCATTTCTCGAGAAAATCGTATGACCTTTAAAATGACGTATTTGGGGGTCCAAAACCCCCCTTAAAATTAGTTTGAAGTAATTTCTGTGATTTTTACTTAAAAGTGCTTACAATGTGGTAAATTTGCCCGTTTTATTTTATTCTGTGCGATAATTTGAACCGGAGTAATGATTTTTTGAAAATAGGTCAAATTGGACCTTTGACCTATCATAACTCGGTCAAAAATTAAGATATTGATTTGCGATTTGCGCCAAAATTCTTACGTTTTTATGCTCTTTCTAATGACGTACCACAAGATAGGGGTTACCATTTGAAAAAAAAGTTGGGGGCCCCCCTGAGGGGGGAACACAAATTTTGACCCCCCTAGAAGATGGTCCCCTTTAAGATAGAAACATTCCCAAAGTTTCGTTTTTCTATCTCTAACCGTTCAAAAGTTACTGGGGGGGGGGGGGTACGGACTTTGGGGGCACCCTGTATATATGATGCCATAGGTATGTGAAATTAATGGCACCATGGTATATGAAATTATACCAAATATTTAATAAAGTACAGTATCAATAAACCCAAAAATATTGCTGAAAATAATGGTAAAAAATGTATGAAAATAAAAACAAGAAGTATCGTACATAAAAATGCAAATGAAAAATGACTTCTGCCATGAATGCAGCGATATTGTGGATAAAATGTTTAGAAAACATGACCACAAACTAGCTTTTAGTACAGACAACAATGTGAGTTGCAAAATTAGAAAACAGGCCAGTAGAAACAAAAATAATACTTCATCAGGCGAAATTAGGTGATAATTGTTCAGGTATCTACCTAATAAAGTGTCAAGCATGCAATAGTAAATATATAGGAAAAACTGAGCGATCTATCAAAGTTAGAGCCAAAGAGCATCAAACATCCAATGTGTTCAAACATATGAAACCTACAAGCCATAAAACAGGTTTTAATGAGACAAAAATTTTGCACAAAAACAGAGATCATAATCATTTAAGTGGCTTAGAAAAATTGGAAATTACAATGGTTACAATGAAAAATGAAATTTTACTCAACAGATATCAGATAGAAACAGAAATAGCAAGAAACTCACTTATCCGGAGGTGCTGCCACCTATCTATGAATCAGAAAAGGTCCAACGAACGCATTGTTGGTGGATTGACCGTTGTACTGAATCGCAATCATCTGATCTGCGAGTTCACAGATTTCATAAGTGCAACGATCTCTCTTATCATCCATGACTCCTTTTAATTTTGACACCATCATATACATATGCGTGAAGTAAAATTTCCTTAAAATTTCAAACTCTGATTATGTTTATGTTCAAGTTTTGTAATAATGCTCTAATGATGGTGCAAGCCAAAAGGTACTTTAGTAATTATAGAATTATATCCACAACATTTTGGTTCTATCAATCACCTTCAGTATCTATGCTGTGTCTCCGTAAGTTGGCCGCCATTTTACAAGATGGCTCCCAAAAGCTGGTTTTTGTTATTTTCTTATTTTTTGGCGGTTCTAAGTTACCTATTGACATAAAATTTGGTGGAGTTATTCATGAGTATTTTTTAAACGAGGAAAAACCCGGACTTGAGTCCACTCGACCATTTCTCCTGGTTATTTGGAATGTTATGTACATTTTGACGCCTTAAGATATTAGCATCTTAGCTCCGTTTCTCTTCGGTCTCTCCGATTTTTGTGGCTCTTTTGCAGCTAGACACTTTTTGGCAGAAATATGCAGAGTTGTCTTCGTAACAGGAAAATATCGAGTCTTAAGTTCAATCGGCTATTTTATCCTGGCTATCGGCCGGCATTTCAGCAAATTAGCGTCTCAACCCAGTTTCCCTTCGATCTCTCTGGTTATCGTGGCTTTTTTTTGCAGCTAAACGGTTGAAATTTAACATGAATGCACTCAAGCGTGTTAAAAACAGAAAAATTTCAAGACACAAGTACACTTGGCCACTTTATTCCTGCTAATGGCCACCATTGTGGAAAATACCAGCCAGCCGGTTTCTCCGCGGCTCCTCAGATTTCCGTGCGTTTTTTGCAACTAGACGCTTTAAATTTGGCAGGAATATGCCTAATTATGTTGAGAAGAAAAAAAATTGAGACACAACTTCAATAGGCCATTATTTCCCGGCAACTGGCTGTAATCTTCAAAAACAGGGGCCTTTCCCCGTTAAACGTCTGAACGTTGTTTCGTCGGTTTTCGTGGGTGAGTCGTAGCCAAAATTATGTAAATAGGCAGATATGTAATTAAATTTAATTTGAAATAGATAAAAGTGAGACATTAGTTTAGCCACGAAAAATGATACATTTTATTCCTACAAAAATACAGAAATTAACAAAAATTGAACTATTCTCTTGTATCAAATTATTTTGAATTGAAAATATAATACTAAGTGAGTCTGTCGATGGAAACATTCTTTACTGTGTTTATTTTGTATTGTGGTTAAGTTACTTTTTTATCATCAATTAATTTTTCAAGCTTTTAAGAGCTTATTATAAGCATCAATCCCCCCCCTCCCGAAAAAAGAAAAAAAAAATAAAAATTCCAAGGCACTCTTGTGTTTCTCGCGAAATTTTACAAAGGATGTATTCCTTAAATCGTAAATCCCCGTGTGATGCAAGAGCTGCAGCATCAATACGTTCTCTCCGAATTTTGCGCTCAAACCTTACACTTGAACGCTAGAGTCAGTGACTTCTTATGACCACGACTTTTGACCACGAAAATTATGCGGTGTTAAGGTATTATTTACACCTTAGTTAGGGAGGTAGAACTTGCGCCGACCGTGAAATCAGCGTACTTTATATTACCGTCTTAGTATTTTATTCATTTTAAAAACTGGTGGCCCAATGCCGGAATGGAATTATCTCTTGAAGATGTATCATATGTTCCTTTGTCGATCATTTCATCATTTTTCCTGTAGCATGTATATTCCCACCAAATTTTAAGCATTCGGCTGCAGGTAGCCACAAAAATCAGAGAAAAAGCCCGACGGGACAGGGCCGCGAATTGCCACAATGGCGGCCAACGGGCGGGAAAATATGGACCATTGAAGTTGCGTCTCGATATTTTTCTCTCTTCCACGCACCTATGCATATTCTTGTCAAATTTTAAGCGTCTAACTGCTAAAAAGCCACGGGAATCTAAGGATCCGTGGAGAAACGGGCTAGCTGGCAATTTCCAAAATGGCCGATGAAACTTGCATCTTGATATTTTTCTGTTCCTAATACAATTACGTATACTCATGCCGAATTTAAAGTGGCTAGCCGCAAAGAAGTCACAAAAATCGGAGAAACCGAGAAGAAACGGGGCTAAGACGCTCATTTTTAAAATGGCGGCCAATAGCTAGGACAAAATGGCCGACTGGAATTAAATCTTGGTTTTTCCTCTTTCTAGGCACGCTCATGAATAATGCTACCTTTCATGCCAATTTGTAAATTAGAGCTGCAAGTAAATGAGAAAATAACGAAAACTACTTTCAGCGGCCACCTTGGCAAATGGCAGCCAAATAACGGGGACATATGATAGAAACGGCTTGGAGCTCCATTGACTTCCGTTCCAGGTACCTTAAATGACATTTACACCAAGTTTCATGCTGGTAGCCTGAAATGAAATATCCGGATAACTTTTAACCCTAAGCAACTCCACTAAATTAAGATTTAGAAATAAAAAATCGTGCTTTGATGTTTTTCTCGAACGAGTCCAAAGTGATGCTTTATATATTTCTCGTTAAATTCCATTTTAGGGTAACAGGAAGATGATTTTCATCGAGACTCTGGGTAGATTGAATGAGTTTATTGATCCAGAGCAACAAAAACTACCTGGAACAACACTTTCGTTAGATGAAGATTTAAAAGTCTACAACAATGCTTTGAAGCTTTCACACAAAGACACCAAAGTCATTATCAAGGTATGTATATGGCTTAAGTTGATTTTTCGTCTGTTTTATTTATTTATTTTATATATAAATATATATCTTGCTTTTCCAAGAAAGAAGTAAGTTTGACATTTCAAATTCCATGCCTCGTAACAGTTTAATTTTCAAGTTTATCAGTAGTTTTACAAAAAATAAATTTGAAAGAATATAGAATCAATGTTTAGTTAGTGTACAAACTTTATTTTTCTTAGAAATTAACTTCAGCTTCCTTCAGGGGCTCAGAAAAGTCGTAGCCCTCCCGTTTTTTCTAAATTTGTTTTCGCATTCTAAAGACTTTAATTTCCCAGAGTTATGACTTTTTATTCGCTGAAACAAACTAACTTCCTATTTTTTAACCCTTTACCAGTCATTTAATTTCTGTGAGCATCTGTGTACATCTGATCAGCCATGCAGTTGGTTCCTGTGCATGTGGCTTCCCCTATCTTTGAAAAAGAGAATACTGTTTATTCCTCAAGTGCTATCCTCGGTGCTGTAGTTTCCAATGCAGTTTATTGCCTTTAGATCCTGGGTTTGATCTCTAATGGTGAATAGGCTATAAGAAGACAAAAATCCATAGGCATAGGATAGCCACTAACCATGGATTACCATGTTTTTCCAATACTCTGTTTCCATAGGCAACAAGCTGGGAGAAGGACACGACACGGCCATGCAGTAGCAGTCAATCCACACTATCTGATTATGTTGTAATTTAATTGTCAATCACTTGTTGTTGGTGAAACTACAAGTATTACCAATGGCTGCGCTTTGCAGGTTCCATTCAATCATTGAAACAACCTACTGTTGGCTTATCAGATAGCCATCAAGCTTTGCATAAAATGTGATCTGTATCTTGGCATTTAGTTTCGCCGAAGGAGCTTCTTCCAACTTTTGGGTGCGCACTGGCAAAATTTTGCGAGTGCCAAGACCACTAGAGAATGCCTCATCCTGTCAAAATAATAGTAGCTGTCAGTCCAATCGCTACCACCACTACTACTGCCACTGGTCTCCCTGAAGCCATGTCTTCGTAGGATCGCTGTGACAACATTTCAGTCCCTCTAATGAGCTTGTTCAGCAATTCGTAATTCTTGCATTTTTGGAAACTAGAGAGTGCACAGAGTTCACAGGAATTTTCCCCGATTTTTTTGAGCAATATTAACCCACGAAATACGAGTCCAAAAGTCCGCATTTTGGGCTCCCATTTAAACGCGCGCCGCTTGGCCCATCTCAAAATGGCGCCCATTTTCTCCGTCCGGCGGTGGCCACACTTTTGACCCGGCGTGCCGGCGGGTACCTCTGCATGCCTCTGCCGTGTGTGGGTCGTATAAACAAACGAAGATTGATAACACAAATGATCCGAGCAACTCGAAATCTCTTAATATTAAATAATTTAAATCCATTTTCGACTTCAACCAAGCACTTGGCAATAATATTCATCGTATTTTACAACCAGGAGCCACGGCCTATCGGCTCATTTTAAGGTGCATTCTGAAAATCAGTGTTTACAAGTCCAGTGTCCAAACCCAGACTTTCTTCCTTTACTTTTTTTTGACCATTCTCTTTTCATTTTCGCCTCAAATCAAATGTTTAGCAGTTTCTTTGTCTTGAGTATGTGGTCCTGAATTCATTCAAGAGTTAGAAGTTCACCATTTATTTAGTATTATAGCCTTTTGACCTCTCAAGCTTTACCGATATGATCTCATGTAGTTCGAGGTTTCTTTGGCCCAAACCAAGTGATTACACATCTGATGTGTGTCTTATGGCTCTTCAAATTCGCAGTTTAGAACTAAATCAGAGACTACAGTTACTTAATCCAGTTCTGCTCTCTTGTTCAATGTTTGTCATAAGTGTTTGTTCGTGTCTGTTCTTTATAAGTGACCACTGTAGTGCATATACACAGTTATGCTATCGGTACAGGTATTATTTCTTGTTTTCTACAGTCAGGACTTTCTCTTAAGCGCAATAATTTACCAAAGAAATTCACCTAGTTGCGTAAATAATTTGGTGTATAGATATTCTGTTAATGTCTCCTTGCGGTGATGCAAAGTTTCTGAGATCTGTCATAAGTGGATTTTGCATTTGGACGGTCACTCTTGCCTGATAAAATTACTGCTCTAGCAACTTCAAATTTATACTTTGATCTCTGATTCATCACTAAATGACACTCGTGCGGGGTCATTTATCTTTAATCAGTTCAAAGCTATTTCGACAATGAATCATCAAAGGTCCGATTGAAGAAGGAATTTTCTGGTGAGTGCTGCGGCTGAACCGACATCACAACTCAACTTTCAAAAGCATCAACTTATAAAAATTTATGAGGAAGTGGTAATGGTAAGTGGAAATCATGGTAGTGCTCGCTTCTTTCTTAAGCAAATTGTGCGCTCAAAATTTCAAAATCTACTCACCTGCATGTATATTTGAAGAGGAATACGACATGATATGTAGCAGGCTACACTTCATCTATTAATAATACGTAAATATGTCTTCCGAGCATTCTTAGGAAACTTCCACAATTTTTAGTTTTGTTCCTGAGAGAAAATTTTGAGATGACTCTGCTGGTATTCCCAGTGTCTTTTCAGAAATTTTGTACTTCGCAGGTATCATCAAATACTTAAGTATCAACAGATATTGTAGAAGATAGAAAATTTATTTGAGGATTCCTGCTAGTATGTTGTGTTTCCTGCAGCAACAAGGCTCATCACATTTCATGGAATGAAGTAATCAAAAACTACTTACTTACCTACAGCTTGGTCAGTTTCATGTCTTTCTAGAGTGAAGAAAATATTTTTTTTTCTCTCTATTTAAGAATTCAGGGTGAATCAAACCTGTCCAACAAAAATTTTAATAAAATGCCTTTGTTCAAAAACACATAAGAATCATTTCAATTGTAAAGATGCCGACGATTCTGGTTAAAAGTCCGAAAGTCGGCTGATTTACTGAATTTCTCAGGTACAGACGGATGGAAGGATTTTGAAAAGACATAGAATTACATCCTCCCATAAGAATAAGTCAGGAACATGGTTAAGGTTATCTGGGGATGACATTTGTAACATTTCGTTGCATGATTTTATAATCGAAGAGAAACAGAAAGTCTGAAACTTTGTAAATCTACGTACATGGTTTTCTAGTTAGGCTATGACATCGATATGCTCGTTTTGTTATCAATTAATCTCCACAAAGGTAAGCATACCTACAAACACTGTTCCACAAGAGATACGAATGTAACTTGTGATACCTAAGTGACTTTACAAATCTTACCTGTTAAACTACCAGCTACCTGATTATTGAAACTATGTCAGCCCGATATGAAAAGACATAGCCCTATCTTCTCCATGTAATATATCGGAATTTGTTGTCTTGTCGGGTTGCTCTAAGCCTTCAATAATCGGCCTGCTGATGAGTTGCAAAATATTTCCACTTCCAGACGAATGATCATGTCTTGGTTGATGCTTTCGATAGTAGAGTTGTGATGTCGGTTCAGCCGCAGCACTCACCAGAAAATTCCTTCTTCGATCGGACCTTTGATGATTCATTGTCGAAATAGCTTTGAACTGATTAAAGATAAATGACCCCGCACGAGTGTCATTTAGTGATGAATCAGAGATCAAAGTATAAATTTGAAGTTGCTAGAGCAGTAATTTTATCAGACAAGAGTGACCGTCTAAATGCAAAATCCACTTATGACAGATCTCAGAAACTTTGCATCACCGCAAGGAGACATTAACAGAATATCTATACACCAAATTATTTACGCAACTAGGTGAATTTCTTTGGTAAATTATTGCGCTTAAGAGAAAGTCCTGACTGTAGAAAACAAGAAATAATACCTGTACCGATAGCATAACTGTGTATATGCACTACAGTGGTCACTTATAAAGAACAGACACGAACAAACACTTATGACAAACATTGAGCAAGAGAGCAGAACTGGATTAAGTAACTGTAGTCTCTGATTTAGTTCTAAACTGCGAATTTGAAGAGCCATAAGACACACATCAGATGTGTAATCACTTGGTTTGGGCCAAAGAAACCTCGAACTGCATGAGATCATATCGGTAAAGCTTGAGAGGTTAAAAGGCTATAATACTAAATGAATGGTGAACTTTTAACTCTTGAATGAATTCAGGACCACATACTTAAGACAAAGAAACTGCAAAACATTTGATTTGAGGCGAAAATGAAAAGAGAATGGTCAAAAAAAGTAAAAGAAGAAAGTCTGGGTTTGGACACTGGACTTGTAAGACTGATTTTCAGAATGCACCTTAAAATGAGCCGATAGGCCGTGGCTCCTGGCTGTAAAATACGATGAATATTATTGCCAAATGCTTGGTTGAAGTCGAAAATGGATTTAAATTAATTAAAATTAAGAGATTTCGAGTTGTTTGGATCATTTGTGTTATCAATCTTCGTTTGTTTATACGACCCACACACGGCAGAGGCATGCAGAGGTACCTCGCCGGCACGCCGGGTCAAAAGTGTGGCCACCGCCGGACGGAGAAAATGGGCGCCATTTTGAGATGGGCCAAGCGGCGCGCGTTTAAATGGGAGCCCAAAATACGGACTTTTGGACTCGTATTTCGTGGGTTAATATTGCTCAAAAAAATCGGGGAAAATTCCTGTGAACTCTGTGCACTCTCTAGTTTCCAAAAATGCAAGAATTACGAATTTCTGAACAAGCTCATTCCAGATGATAATCTCTAATTTCTTTAACAGATCGGCCCCACTGCTGTTCAAGTAACATCTTTGGAGAAAACGAAAGTGCTTGCTCACTCAGTTTTGTTGAATGACGTTTACTATGCCAGTGAAATTGAAGAAGTTTGCCTTGTTGATGACAACCAGTTTACACTCTCAATCATGAATGAGTCAGTACCCCTATCTTTCATCCACACAGATTGTGATGCAATCGTTCAAGCCATCGTCCACATCCGGAACCGTTGGGAGCTTTCTCAACCTGTAAGTATTGAGTTTTTTCACCTCCTCCTTCATCTGTCTTGAGCTATTTTACTAACAGTAGTATTTTGGTTCAATAATATTTACCTAGTATAATATTAGTAACAAATCAATTCTGTCTTATTAAAAGTAGTGTTATTTACAGGATTACCGATATCATTGGGAACTTCAGCATCCTGTAAGTATTCATTCAGTGGTTACTTGCCTTTTTTTCATCATTATGTGTTTTTTTGCCAATCATGATTGTCGTAGTTTTCCATGTAACTTAATGTTTGCTTAGGTCCACTCATGATCCTCAGGGTGAGAGCCTCAATCTTTCATTGGATAGGGTTTCTGAGTATTCATCATGTTTTACTTAGGAGAATGTCCCAGCTAAGAACCCTGAACAAAGTGATGTAAAAAATTTTTCGGATACTTGGTGAAAGTGTGCATTTTTTTTTCTTCATTTTTCTTGTTTTACAACTCAAAATTTCTAGAAGTTCAAATTCCTTATCTAGGAACTGTGACATTATGGTGTTCCGTTTCCAGGCGACCATCTCAAAACCTTGCTTCCCGGCTTTTTCCCATTCCTTTTGGTCCTCAAAAGATAATTCTGAAGATTCAGCACCATAGCTGAAGTTTACACTTTCCCCCAAAGCTATGAAAATTTCTGGAGCAATTTACATTGGTTTGAGGGGGGGGGGGGATAGGCCGATTCGCGGAACTAGGTTTTTCGGCTGTAAAATGCGCCAAAATGATTTCTAACCTGACTATCTCTCGGGATGTCATCCAAAGGCCTATTTTGAACGAGAAAATTCCACTTTTGACCCAGAGATGGGGATAGGGTGGGTCATGGCACAGTTAGTTTTGAGGCGCTGCGGGCATTTGACAGTTTTTCATCAACCTCAAAACAGGTCCTCTGAAGCTGAGAAGGCTAATATATCTCACAAATGTAATAAAATAATGTACAAGAGTTGTTTTCATCCCTTCAGAACTATTTTCTACCATTTACACTGTTGCCAAATTTACTCGAACCTGGAAGAAAATTAGTCTATATCATGTTCTGCACTTGAGAAATTTTGGCAACTGTGTAAATGGTAGGAAATAGTTCTGAAGGGATAAAAGCAACTCTTGTACATTATTTTATTACATTTGTGAGATATATTAGCCTCCTCAGCTTCGGAGGACCTGTTTTGAGGTTGATGAAAAACTGTCAAATGCGACCCAGATAACATCGAACGTTTCAGCAACGTGGAAATCAACGTAGACCTTGAAACATTCCGGGAATGTATACAATTTCTACGTTGTAATCAACATGGAAGAACAGGGGTGCTCCGAAGACGTCTCACTGGCGATGTAACAGGAACGTGGAAAGGAACGTTGCTCTGTAAACCTAACCTAAAAAGTTAAAATCGCACTTTCGCCGTTTCGCTGTCTACGTTTCCGGGATGTAGAATTCAACGTAGTCCAAAACACGTTGTACTAGAAAAGGCGGCACAGGCAGGACACAGGCCAGGAGCGCCCACTAGGTGGCGCTGCATTTCGCGGCGCAGATTACTCAAAAAGTCTACAGCGCATGCGCAGCCCATGTCAGCACCAACCAAGTTCCTGGAATCAGTCTGATCAGGAAAGGTTGCAACTGTTCGAGAGTGTCCACCATTGTTATCTTGATATTGGCGTACCAAGTGATTTTCGCAGTTTAATGTTGTGCTTGAAGAGATGCTTATACCTCCGTATTTTACATACATAGAAGTTCGTTAATCATCTGGTTTGCACATACTTGTCTGTTTCTAATTCTGTATTCTCAAGTCAATGTCCACAATTTTAACCCGTGGACCTCATGTTCTACTCTAAAACTGGAAGTGCTTATTCCTTCTCTAGTACGTACACCTAAGTAAATGAAAGTCTTGCCTATGAAGTGAATGATTGTATTTTAATTAATCGTCATATTTATCGCAAATAAGTAGATAATTAACAAAATTTTCTAATCGTAAACATGTTAGGAGGGAAGTAGACGCAAAAACTGTGAAAAGCCCAAAAATGAATGCCACACTATGTTTTGCAAATAAAATGGATTCTAATGTTACTGCACGTTCGTGCAATGTAGTCTCTGCCACGTCCCTGCAATGTAGGCACTGCAACGTTCCTGCGACGTGGACACTGAAACGTTCCTGTAAACGTGGTCGCTGACAACGTTTATACGGGAACGTTCCGGAAACGGTACTTAATACATGGACATCCACGTAGAATTACACGTTCCGGTACTCGTTGCTTTCCACATGGAAGGTTTCACGAGAAACGTGGAATTCTACGTTGTTGTCAACGTTGAAATTGGTATCTGGGAATCATTCTGCTGAGCGCAGCGCCTCAAAACTAACTGTGCCGTGACCCACCCTATCCCCATCTCTGGGTCTAAAGTGGAATTTTCTCATTTAAAATAGGCCTCTGGAAGACATCCCAAGAGATGGTCAGGTTTGAAATCATTTCGGCGCATTTTACAGCCGAAAAACGTAGTTCCGGAAATCGGCCTATTCCCCCTCCCCCCTCAAACCAATGTAAATTGCTCCAGAAATTTTCATAGCTTTGGGGGATAGTATAGACTTCAGCTATGGTGCTGAAACTTCAGAATTATCTTTTGAGGACCAAAAGGAATGGGAAAAAGCCCGGGGAGCAAGGTTTTGAGATGGTCGCCTGAAAATGGAACACCCTACTGTGACGCACTTTTTAATGTCGTCCAAACCAAGAACTCTAGAACTTCACTGCAGATTCCAATTCTTTACTATAAAAGTGTCTAAAAAAGCAGCGGGAAGTCGTCCTTTTCATTTGCAGAATGATTGTCGCACTGTTAGAGTCACTCTGAGAAATGAAGCGTTGACGTGATTTGGCCATTTTGCAATAAAGTATTTCATTAGGATTGCAAAATCTGAAATGGAGTTACAGCATTCTTACTTTGGATGACAGTGTAAAAATCTTACGTATTGTTAATTGGCTCATTAACATATGATCAATAGCTTTGCATTCTGTGTTTTTGTCGCATTTTGGTGCTCCTGAATTCTAATGCTTCAAGAAAATCGTAGTTCAGTCAATCTCATATCTATGTATCACATGGTTGATTAAGTCCCTATGAGTTTATAAATCATTATATTAAATTATCTCTTAACGTATCTCTCATCACAATGGTTTTTTTAAAGACATGAGGTAAACTTTTTTTTAAAAAAAATTTGTGTCACCATTTCATCCTTATTATGGATTGAGATGTAAGCTGTAATATCTAGGTTTAAATATTAAGTTAAATTTTGAGTGTCAGCAGTATAAATAGTATCTTCATGAGTGTTTTACCTCATTGTGTCTGTTAGATGTGCAACAAAACGAAAAATGGATGTCTATTTTATATTTAAGTATCTAATTGTCGTATACATGCATGACCATAAATGGGGGGGGGGGGGGAGCATTTGGACTTTTAAAAATTGCCGTGGATAGTACATTTGTACGGATGAACTACTGAGAAGGTGTCCTTAGGAATTTTGCAAAATTTTCCAAGTTGTAAGTTCGTTTAGTCAGTTAGTCCATACAAGAATAAACTATTTGAAGCATTTTGAAAATGCTGCGATGGATTTATGCCCTTTTGTTATTATTTTTTTCATAGTAAGCTGATATATGTTTCAATGCTTATGATATTGTAGTGCATAGAAATCACTTTATCTACATTTTAATGTTAGCTTTTATTGTATGTTCAAATCATGCCTTTACTTTTATGGAGGAGCAAAACCTCCCAAATTAAGAAAATATAAAAAAACCTAATATTAGAACTATCTCGAGAGTTTAATTATCTTCAAAGAGTGTGTGTCTGTAAAAAGCATCTTATAACATTTTTAGGGGAATGAAGGGCAGTGCTTTTAGACAGGATATCCATGGGTGTCCATGGATGTATCCTGCCTCTGGTCAATACTAACTAGGTTGTATTTTTCCACACTGAGAAGTCTGCGTCAATTCCTCGGCATAACTTGAAGGTAAAGACTATCCTTCAAAAAGTACAATCTAGTCCTTACCTACCGTAGGCAAAATATGTGCTTTTTGAAAGTCTCCATTGTAGCATATCAATGTTTGGCATTGTCTCTGCTTCTCAATCAAAACCTTGCTTAATTTTTGTAGTAAAGTTTTAATGAAACCAGAACGTTTTTGTTTACAAGTAGGACTTTGCAAGTATGGTTATTTTGACATTGAATCGAATCAAATAAAAATGCATATTTCAAATATTGAATTGAATATTTTTGCGTGTTTTTGACCATATGCACCTTTTCATCATTCGCCCAGCCCTATTTACCAAGTAAATTGTTGGTTTGTGAACTTGTCTTTAATAATTGTGAGCTGTTAATTGTTTTCCAATATTTTCTTTTAACCAAGTTTTTTTTTTTTTTTTTTTTTTTTTTTTTTTTTTTAATTTTAATCCATTATCAGTTTGCTGGTACAGCAATTGTCACTATGGCTAATGCCAAACTTTATCATGAGCTTCCTTGATTCAGAATGTGACGGATGCAATTTTAGTAGTGGAACTATGCTCAGCCCCTCGTAATAAAAATATGAGTCTTTTTTATATAAATAAGTGCTCTCTACGCCATAATATCTTTAGACATTGTGAAGTAGTTTTTTTTTTAAGTATAAAAACGTAAGTAAGGGCGGAAACTTGTTTCCGCACAAGGTAGAAAGATGAAATGTAACTTGTCCCACACAATAAGCAAATTCACTTTGTAAATTCTTTAATTTTTTTAAGATATAGCTCTTCATATCGTCATATTTTCTGTGACTTTTTATTGATCTCTCCATTTTTTCTCCGAAAAAAATCTGTGGTCGAAGCAAATTTAAGCGTCTCGAGTCCCTTGACTTGAAAGTACATTTTCCAATGATGCAATTGATAAGGACTTGTTTTTAGTGACATCTGGTCCTGAAAGGCTTCAGAAAGAGCCAAGAAATCAAAGGTCTTAGTTCTGCTAACTTTTTGTTTCAGGACTCAGTGACGGTGCATCAAAAGATACGACCAAAAGATGTTCCAGGAACGTTGCTTAATATGGCTTTACTTAATTTAGGTTCTTTAGATCCTCACTTACGTACTGCTGCTTACAACCAATTGTGTGCATTAGCTGCTGCTTTTGAATTAAAAATTGAGGGACAGCTTCTGGAGACCTCAGGTATGGAGTATAACTGACTTATATTATTACTGACTTATATTATTACTGACTTATATTATTACTGACTTATATTATTACTGACTTATATTATTACTGACTTATATTATTACTGACTTATATTATTACTGACTTACTGAATTACATCCGATGGTTTTATAAAAAAATTTCTCCTATCTCTATTTGCACGCAGCACCATTTTTTCACCCTTGAGAACAGTGTGCAAAATTTCCACAAACATTGTTTTGGCCTCTATTGGAACTCACTCACACCGCAATTAGTTTCTCAGTCCTTAACCAATACAAACGGTATTTTCTTCTAAAATTCTTCACGTAGTTTCTAAACTTACTCTGTTATACTGTCAGAAATTATTCCAAAGAATCAAGATAACAAAAATACTGTCCAGTCACCAGTTACATGAGTAAATTCCTTATCAGTATGTTTTCTGCTTGACACAACATGTATGAAAATGTAGAGGCTATTTTTTGTGCATGCAACCATAACACAACAAGGGAGGGCATGTTTCAACCAGCGTTGCCACATTGATGTGAAATGGCATGTTGATGGCATGAGTTGATTTAAGTTCACTTCTCTTTTAAAATAGGACACAAGGGTATTCACTCAGTGTGCTGTATGGTCTGGTTTTTTAGTTGTAATCTCGATTGAAACAAATTATTTTTTCTCCCTCACCAAAAAATCACCATCTAGACTTTAGATGAAAAGCGGTTCATAGAACCCTGCCAGACTTATTTCATGTCTTGGTTGTGACATTTAATTTTTATCTTTTTTTTTTGTCTTATTCATAAACTTTAAACGTAGAATTTTTTTACGGACGCATTGCCATTAAGGCCCTCTCAGCAAAATATTTCTACCTTATATTGCTTATTAGTGAAATTTTGGCAAGATTTAATTTGTTAGAACTAAAATTCAAACGTTCTCTGTGAGCAAAAGCATTTATTTTTTACTAATCCTCCTAAGACCCAGAGGTTTCACAATTTTTATAGTGCTTCAGTCCTGAGCCTTTAACTTTTTGTATTTTTACTTTCCACATCGTTTAAAATTGCAACAAGATTTTAACCTCCCTTGAGTCTTTTGAAATAGAATGTTAGAGCTTGCCTATAAATTATTTAGTGGATTAGTGGATTAATTATTTAGTGCAGTGCTGTGGTAACTCAAATTAGAACTTGAAATAGCAAGTCGTAATGCCACTGGGTCGCCCAGTACTACTAAAATAAACGGCAAAAGGTCTTGCCACAGGGATTCAGGAGGCTAATCTTTGAGTTTTAGTAAGTAAATCAGGGAAAAGTTAAAATGATCAAAAAAACCTGCCAGAATTAAGGAAAAAATTATATGTGCCAAAACATATCATGCTGATAAGTTTCTCCATCAGGAGAGTGTCAGGACAGTGTCAGAATGTGGCACTAATATAGTTATATTTTTTTCTACTGATTTCATTTGACAAGATTATATCTCAAGTAATGACAAAGATGTATCTAGAAGTTAAATTTCTGAAGAACAATACACGAAACAAATAGTCTGGATGGAAACAAACACAAGACAGCGTTGCCACAGTCAGAGAATTTTAACAATTTAGGTATATACCTTTTATTTGCCAAAATGTTTACATAGAAAAATACACTGAGCCGAATGAGACTTAAGATTAGATTAACACATTTCACCTACTACAATAATTATTAGAGCAATAGAAAACTTGGGTACATCATTTAAATGGATAATAAATTGGAGTAATGGATACAAAGTGTTTCAAAAGTCAGAAGTAATATTAGGCAAAAAATACGTTGAGAATGAAAAAATGACCTATTTTGGAGTCAGATTAACAAGATAAGGTGAGAAAAAAGGCAAAGTGCACTTGGCCTTAATGACCCGTGATTGAAGAAAAAGGGAAACCTGGAAAATGGAAGGGAAATAGACAAAATTGTCAGATTCGTTCCTAGAGTGTGTGTCAAGGACATACATCTCAAACAACAAATGTTGCATGTTCAGATTTGGAAGTGATATATTTTTTACTTTGCTAACCATCCCGCATAGCCTCAAATGTCAGGAAGTTCTGTCAAAATTTATCAGGGAAATGTCAGAAAATTTAATTTTCTGAAGCCTGTCGCAATCTTGACAAGATAATAAGATAACTAAGTCTAGGGTGGATAGAAATTTTTGACTTTAAGAGGAGAAACGCGTATTATCGATAGAAAAATTTCACTGCATATTTACCCCGTACAACCGCAAATTGGCCTATTAGGCCTAAATTTTTATTTCATCATATTTAAGGTTCAAATACATGTTTTTTTTAAAGATTGTTGCCCTACAGATGGAAAATTTCGTTCATTCTGACGTATCATGAACGAGTAAATCACAATTGATCTGTTTTCATTCGATAAATGGCCGGGAGCGCCCCCTAGAATGGCGCATCTTCAGTAATGTTGTAGAAGTAAGTGAGGATAGTGAATGCGAGTAGATCTGGACAAATTGCTCGCCCAAGGACCAAAATTTCGTCCGTTCTGCCGTATTTCCAATCGTTGATCCGCAAATACGCGGAGAGGGCGTTTCTACGGTTGCGCGGCGCGAAGCGTCGCGCTGGTTCGTATCGTTGCCTGCTGTTACCGTTTGGGGTCGGCCCACGGAAACCCGACGCGACGGGCGGCGGTTACGTGCCGGCAAGGGTTCCTCAACTATCGCCACCCAGCGCACCGTTGCAAAATATCCGACAATGTCAGTATGGTCTCCTAGTAATATGAATTATTGACTCCGAAATATTGTATATTATTATACCGTATGACATGCAAATCTGTGCACGGAGTCATAGACGGCCCTCCTCCAGATCTATTCAATATGTTTCGTCAGATTTTAGTGAGAGTGAATTTGGTTCAGCCGTGTTGTACTTCCAGGAAGAACATATTGCCGACCTTCACACAACTGGAGCCTCTCCTTCTCATATCAGTCAACCCATATCACTTTGAGATACTATCAACAAAGTTACCAGTAGCAATCCTGAAGAAAAATTCCGTGAGACCTTTGACAATATTTAAAATTACGCCACTATCATCCAAGATTTGGACTGTGGCTCTGTAGAACTGACCCCAATCAATGTCTCAACGTCTCTACTAAAGAAAGATTTAGAAATCTGTGAAATATGATCATAGGAAGTTACCAAGCACCGATCAAATTATTGTATCAATAAGTTGGTATGGAAAGCTTAATGAATAAGTTGAAAGCTTAATACTATCAGTCACTCTCAATGCATTAATGAACTTCTCACGAGCGCAGTCATATCCTCAATTTCTATCAAAAATTGAAGAAAATCTACCATTTAGACCTAAAATTTTTAATGAAAAGTCTTGTCTTCTGAAGTTCGTGTCAAAGTTTCATCTTCGAATTTTCAGTGTTTGTGTTTTGTGTTCGCCTCCGCACCCTCTCGATCGGTGATATTGACTATATGGTTTGAGATATTGACTTCGGGTTTAAGCGAATAGTTCTCTTTTTTTATGCTCTTTCGAACGAGCTATCACAAAGGGGGTCTTTCCATTTGAAAATTAAAAGTTGGGGGCCGTTGCCCCCCCAAGGGGGGCCCCCCTGAAAATTTTAGGGGGGCCAAAAAGTAGCTCCCTTTGACCTAGGAATATCCCACAAGTTTCAAATCTTTACCTCAATTAGGTAAAAAGTTAGAGGGGGTGGAAGGGACTTTTGGATCACCCTGTAGACAAAAACATTTAAAAAAATCAATTCAAATTTATCAATATTTTTCGTAGTTCGAAGCAACTTCTCATCACAACTTGCGTCTGGTTGATTTACGGTCAGCCGCAAATAAAGTAAACATTAATCTGACCCAATGAGAGAGTTTAAGCACAACTCATATACTACTTGAGACACCGGACCAAGATTAACAAAACTAAAATCAATTTCAGAAGCTAAAACATCAATATGGGCCTCATCCACAATCTTGGTTTTGAGAATTTCGAAAATTTGACTGAAAATTCGAGCTGTTGGTCGAATAATACCTTCTGGTAAAAAGCTTTACGAATATCGACAGAATAGGAGCCGAGATAGCATTGTAGGCCACATCCGCCACCAAGGATTTGCAAATTTTGAAAAAGTGACTGGAAATTCGAGTTTTTTGTCGAAAAGTACCCCCTCATTCGAAGTTTACGAAAATCGATGCAAAAGTAGCTGAGATAGCATTTTAGGCGACATCCGCCATCTTGGATTTGCGAATTTTGAAGAAGTGACTGAAAATTCGAGTTTTTCGTCGAAAAATACCCCTGGAAACCAAGTTGTACGAAAATCGATGAAATAGGAGCCGAGATACAGGGTGCAGGAATGACGTGTCGGCGTGAAGGAGGAGATGAAGACGGAGAAACCAACGATTAGGGTCTCGTGACGTCATAGGAATGATTGGTGCGTCGCTGGACACTTGGTAACTTGGTGGTGTATCTTGGCTTTCACTGCCATGCCGAAATGATAGCCAATCGGAAACTCTCTTACATGGCCTCGCTGCTCACATGTGTAACCGATAAGAATATTTTCAAACAGCGATCTGCTCTAAGCAAATTGGTAGCTACGCAAATATTAGAGAGCTTTAGCAGGATATAGAGGGTCATAATAGACTCCTTCGTTATCGGCATTAATTAAAAAATTGTTACCAGCACTCTAAACGGTCTCCACGTTTAATTATCACAATGAGGAAATACAACTACGTTACCGCCACAAAGAGGCTTTAAAAATAACCTAGGATGCAATGAAGCTAGTATCTAGATCTACCGGCCGCCTCGCGGCGTATTCCAAGGAGCCCGCTATAGCATAGCGCGCTCAACTAGCCATCAAAATATAAAGGTCAGGTGTTGTGATTGGCTTATTAGATGACTTGGACCAATCACGGCACTTGACCTTGACATTTTGTTGGTATATTTTGATAGTGTGACATAGTCTTTCTATTCTTTCTAAGTACTTCCTATTTATTTTCTTCTTCTTCTCCTTCTTCCTTGTCTCCTTTTTCTTCTCCCCCTTCCTTAAGAAGAGGGAAAAAGAAGGAGAGAGGAATATATTTCACTGAGCGAGTTTATCCAGCTCATGATCAAACATTCCATACTCCTGTGATATATTTCGATGGGAAACTCAAATTTTTTATCTTATTTTCAAAATTCGAAAATCCAAGATGACGGGCGTGGCCTCAAATGCTATCTTGGCTCCTGTTCCATCGATTCTTGTGAAACTTGGAATTTCGAAAGTTTCATAAAATAAATTCTTCTTGTCTCAATATGTACCCATAGTAAGTGCTGTACTTTTGAATCAGCACTTCAATATTATTAAAGAAATAGTATCTATTTCTCTACCGAAGATGGCAAACAAAGTGCCATCCTAGCTCCTGTTTAAAGTGATTTTTGTGAAACTTGGTACTAGGGGGTATTTTTTGGTTCCGCTGTCACAAGCACCCTATGAGCTGTGCTCAATCTCTCTCATTGGGTGAGATTAATTTTCACTTGATTTGCAGCTGACCGCAAACCAACCAAACGCAAGCTCTGGTGACAGAAATTGCTTTGAAAAATGTGCAAATACTATCATTCTGGTAATGCTACATAACCAAACCACACGAACATGACCAGACACCCTGCTAGTAACTATTACTGCATCATAGCCGCTCACACTGTCTATCAGGATGTTGTAGAGGAACTGGTCAAATTGACTCCAAGACGCACGCACTACCTGACGTCATTTGTCAATGGCAACAATATTGCTTAATGTCCATATATTTAAAGCTTTGCTTTGAAGGTCTTAAATAGTTACGTTACATTTTTTACATAACTTTCAGTGCTAATCAAAAACCTATCAACCATTTATAAAGTTTTCAAACTCTCTTCGATTGAAAACAAAATTTATCTTCAAAAATCTGGACGTTACTTTCTTTTTACTATCTGTTAACTTCAGCAAAAAACCCCATGACACCCACCAAAAACATTTCCATGTAAAGACGAACCGCCAAGTCATACGAGGTCTGTTAGATTAGAAACCGGATTTTGGTCATAACTAGCCTACTGTGCGTCCGAATTAGGTTTTCTTGATTTTTCCTGATAGCTGGAAATATACTTAAGAACGCTTCGTTCACAGATTTGAAAAATCTTAATTAGCTTCGTTGGTATGTGGCCTCAAGTACGGCAACCTCATGGGTGTTTTGCGATTTTTATGATTGACCGAACTTGTCTCTCTTTTTTCGGTCTTGCGCTACATTTTTCAATCTATAAGGATGATTGGAGTTTCGTCTCCGCATCTTAACCGTACCTTCAAGTATTATCACCGAAAATTATCCTATCCAAAAATGTAGGATCATTGTTAGAACGTTCAAGCAGCTATAGGGAAATGAACATTTGGTTGGATTTTTGTTCAACGGACAACAATCGAGGGGCAAGTGTACCTGAAACTCGACGCATGTCTACATATTGTGTCAAATTTGTATGTACAGAGCCTTCAGAAATATTACACTGTTCAGCAAGCTCGAAACGACCATTTTCGAGACTTTATCCCGCACTTCTTCCACGTGACAAATGTTAGTTGCCGTTGATGGTCGATTCCCATGCTCCTCATCTTCAACGAACTCCTGACCAGTTTTGAATCGTTTAACCCACTCAAAATAGTGATAACAACTCATACTATGATCTTGGTAAACTTTACTTGGCATACCAAAAGTTTCGGTACAACGTATACCGAGCTTAAAACAAAATTTAATGTTAAATCTTTGCTCTATCCGTGATCGCATGATGAAAATCGCAAAACACCCATGAGGTTGCCGTACTTGAGGCCACGTACCAACGAAGCTAATTAAGATTTTTCAACTCTGTGAACGTAGCGTTCTTTAGTATGTTATCAGCTATCAGAAAAGTTCAAGAAAACCTAATTCGGACACACAATAAGCTAGTTATGACCAAAATCCGGTTTCTAATCTAACAGACCTCGTATATGAACATTCGTCGCCCAGAATGCAGTGATATCCCACAAATTAGATGCCAAGTAAATCATTAATATTAATTTAAATTTTCTCCTCCCTTCAACATTGTTATCAGGGAAACGTAAAATATTTAATAGACAAGAAAAATAATTTAAAAAATGGATATAAACTTATCCATTTTTTGTAGTACAATAGTACAAAAATAATTGATTAATTTGTATCGATTTTTTTTAAAATTATTTTTCTTGACTACATTTTGCGTTTTCCCAATAATAATGTTGAAGGGAGAAGAGACTTTAAAGTAATATTAATGAAATTTACTTTGCGTCTATTTTGAGGGATGTCACTGCATTTTGGGCGACGAATATTTATTTTTTAGCCTGGCGGTTCATCTTTACAAGGAAATGTTTATGGTAGGATGGACAGAGTTCCCATATTGTTCAAAAATACGTCGCTCAAACAGCTACCAAATCTCGATATTATCACTTGATTCGGAAACGTAAGTCTAAAAGCTAAGAAAAGTATCATCTGAATCTTGCAAATTCGAAAAATGACTTATTTGGCACGCACCCGGAAAAACTTTTAAATGTCCTCAAAAAAGGATTGTCGATCGTTTTCAAAGTCCTATGTCTCAGAAACAAAAAAACTTCGACGAGGATTCAAAGTCATCATGCTCATATTATCAACCCATTGTTCCGGTATAAAGAAGTTTCGTGCTAGAAATATCAACAACTGAGACTTGAGTGTTAAAACCTTTTTTGACGAAATCTAATCTCAAATGGTTATGACCACATCTCCAAAGGTCGTGGTCGGTCAATTGTTTCATTTAACCTAGACTCTCTGTCGATGAAGTGCCCGAACACGAGATTTACCAGTGATAGTACGGGTGCAGTGCAGACACCGACCCCAAACGGTCAAAGCGGGCAACGAGAGGAACCAGCGCGACTCTCCATGCCGCGCAACCCTCGAACCGTATTTGCGGATCAACGATTGGAAATACGGCAGAACGGACGAAATTTAGGTCCTTGGGCGAGTAATTCGTCCAGATTTACTCGCATTCACCATCCTCACTTACCTCTACGACATTACGGTAGATGCGCCATTCTGGGGGGCGCTTCCGGCTATTTATCGGATGAAAACAGATCAATTGTGATTTACTCGTTCATGATACGCCAGAATGGACGAAATTTTCCATCTAAAGGGCAACAATCTCTAAAAAAACATGTATTCGAACCTTAAAAATGATGAAATAAAAATTTATGCCTTATAGGCCAATCTGCGGTTGCAGGGGGTAAATTTTATGCAGTGAAATTTTTATACTTCATGTGGAGCCTATTAGGCAACTTTTTTCAATGATGCACGTTTCCCCTCTCAAAGTCGAAAATCTCGACCCACCCTAACCAGTTCATCACCACTAACAGCTGATCCAGGGCTTTTAATTACTCGCTAATTTTATTTTTTCACTTTCTGTTTCCTGGTTGGATACCATTCTAAGACGTCCCAGGCATTTTTACACTGTTCTGAGCTGTTTTGAGAACAGAATTACAGGAGCAGGAATTGAACTTTGTTTTTTCGGGTGTTAATGTATGTGTGAGTTTTGTTAGAATATTACTTAGAGTCGCAAATTTTTTTATAGGTTTATGTATTCCATCCAATAACACGATCTTCATAAAGAAAGTGAGTGAAACATTGGCCACCAATGAGCCACATCTGACTCTTGAATTCCTGGAAGAATGTATTCAAGGCTTTCGCATATCAAACATAGAGCTCAAGCATTTGTGCCTTGAGTACATGACTCCCTGGCTTCCAAATTTAGTAAGGTTAGTGTCTTATTGCTTTATGTTTCTTTCTCCCCCTTTATCAGGTTGTATCAGCATAGTACTCACTTTTCCTTTTTCGCCCGATGTGAAATTTCGGTTGTCAACCTTAAACTTAAAACACAACAATCCTAAACATTGCCCTTAACAACGGATATCAAAAACGTGACATTTTCCAACTGTTTCATCCTAAGCAGCAAAAGGATAGGGGCAAGATGATGTATGGGAAAATGAAAAAAAAGGGACTGAGAAGTGGATTCCAATACCATACATCGAAAAAATATCTGACAGGGTTAAGAAAATCATAGAAAAAGACAAGAATGTGAAGGTAACTTACGGTAACGAAAGAAATTTAGGCAGAATATTAATAAATACAAAAGAACAAGAAAACAAACTGAAATCTAGCGGTGTATATAGAATTGAGTGCAGCTGTGGAAAAAAGTATGTGGGATAGACGGGCAGAAGTATGGCAACAAGGCTAAAGGAACATGTGGATTGTGCCGTACGAAAAAGAAAAGAACACTCATCATCTGGCAACCATATCATCGATACCAATCATAAACTGGAAGGTTGGCAAGCCAAATTGGAAAGAGTTTGTCAAAAAGGCGGCAAGTTAAATGTGCTAGAACAGATTGATATCCTGAAAACACCAAAGGACCAGCTTCTAAACTCACAATTGGAACAACAGGGGGCAGCGGTGGTCATTTCCTCGTCCTTTTACGTGACGCAACGCGATCAGCTGATCATATTCTTGATATCTCTCTTGCCAGTTTCGCGACGCGCCGCCGGTGATAGTACTCTATGTAATGTTTTAACTTCCGTTTCATTTTATTTTAGTTCGTTCTTCGTTTTTTTATACAGTAGCCTTTCGATAATTCGAAAAGCTCGATAATACGACGGCGACGCCGATCCCCTCGGGGAAATCGCGTCGATTCGAAAAATTCAGTGTATTTTTACCCCCTCGGTAATGCGAATTTTTCGGTGGGAAAACGGCTTGTGAGAAGCTCTGTAATTCGAAATATCTGTGCCGGGCGCTCTATAATTCGAAGTCTTGAGGTGGTTGTTTTGATGTACATACATATGTCAAAGCCTAAGGGACAGAGAACTGAGGAATTTACGATTAAATCCTCTGATTATCCAATTCGAATTATAGAGCGTTCGGTTCCACCACTTCAAATTATAGAGCACTTGATGATGGCTGATAGAGCCGAAATTACCATCGTGTTTTAAGTTTTAGGTTGACAACCGAAATTTCACATCGGGCAAAAAAGGAAAAGTGAGTACTATCTTATTGTTTTCTCTAATTGTTATTGACAAGAATGATTTTCAGAACCTGATTATTCCAGGGGTGCAGCTAATGTTCGACTTTTCCTCAGCCTCATTTCCGGCCTTATTCCCTCAATCCATGATTTGACAGGGCGTCCTCTATGGATTTTCTTACAACTAAAAGGTAACGCCTTTACAAATTCACCGTATCACAAGAAACACCTAAATTTAACTCGTAAACACTCTTAGATCGTCAAAAAGTAAAAGGAGATAATTAATAATGATTCCAGTAGTAAGACGACGTACAATACACGGAAAAACGACGGACAATATACATAAATAGGACAAATTTCAGGAAAAACAAAACATAAAATAAATTACTGAAGGTCAAGAAAATCAGACTTATTATTTGCTTATTATTATTATGCTTTTCGGTGCTTCTTGTGATACGGTGAATATGTAAAGGCGTAACCTTTTACTTGTGAGAAAATAATGCATGGTGCTTTTACAGTTCTTAGACAGTATATTACTTCCACGACCACTTCTTAGCTGCAACTATTACAGCAAAACCCCAGGAAAACCATTGGAAACTTCACAAGAAATCTTGTCCCGCGTTTATCTCATAATTCACTGCGAGTAATAAATCCAAAATTCGCTCTAACTTGTCGAAAAGCTTAAAATAATATAGAAGTATTCCATAAATAACAACAATACATAATGCCTATGAACGCCAACTTAGAGGACGCACTGTCAAATCATGGATTGAGGGAATAAGGCTGGAAATGAGGAGATGTGCTCTGCCGGAGGTGCTCTGGCAAGATCGTTGTCAGTGGCGGCTAGGTGTCGCAGAGCGCACAGAAGCGCCATGAGAGCGACTTATTAGTAGGAATAGTACAATAATACATTTTAGACTTTTCTTTACTTTTCACAAAATTAAAAAATAAACCCTCTAAGTGCAAAACTTTGGAAGAAACACATCAGAAAGTACTACTTTTTTGGCTACCGGAAGGAGGGGGGAGGGGTGGGCAAGGTTGCCCCCTCCCTCTCAAAATTCATGTATACTTACAGGGGTAATAATGTTTCTTCAATGTAACTTCCTCAAAATCTCAATAAATATATAAAAGTGTGTTTATAATGAGAGGCTCCTAGATCTGAGGGGACTGGGGAGAGAGGGGGAGATCTAGAGGGGACAGGGGACAGTTTACGTGTGGGAGGACAATTTTGGGCCTTAGTAATAAAAGACGAAGTATGAAAATCATAAAATTCTTCAAAAAACATAGGAAAAAGCATTGCAGCTATCAAATAACCATACATTTTCAATACAAGCCTTGCAGGTCCGGGTTAGTCTTTCCAGGGGTAGGCATGAAAAATAAATTGCTGTGCCTAAAAAAAATTTTTTTTGCAATTTTTTTCCTGAAATATGTTCGTAAGGGTTTTTGTACAGCTATTTGTGAAGGACAGACTTCTCGGATAATTACAGCTGCCGTGGCGCGAAAAATAAGAAGCTACCAGGCCTCATAGACCCGGTTAGTCATCTAAGGGTCAATCAAGTCATTTCCCAACTACCTGAATTTTTCTAAATAAAAAATCAACAAATTGGGATCTTCTTGGCTCATCGAGTACCTAAAATAATAGGTACTAAAACTTCCAAACTGAAAATTTTTAAGTAAGAATTTATGTGAAATTCTGCCATCAACCTTCAAACACGGAGCCTCACATTTGTCATTAAAATAGGATTTTTTCTGCCCAAGTCTCTTCACTTGGATTGCAAAAACTGCAGTCCAGATTTTTTAAAAGGGTCATTCCACGTCAACTCAACCAGCCTCGGTACCCGACCCCCTTTAATTTAGCTGAAAATTGGTAAGCAAGGTCTTTACATCATTCTCAGAAACTGATTTGAAGAATTTGCCCATCCAACGCCCTGTTTGTGAGATATTGACCCTCTAAGATGGGGTCAATTTTAGCGATACTCAAAAAAGCCCGTTTCAGCGATTTTCATTTTCTTGGCTGTGATGTGGTGGCATTTGAAGAGACAACACAAATTTTTAACGATACAAGAGTGTATTGCGAAAATGTAAAAAGAGATGAACAGTGCTTAGGTAGGCGACCGGCGCACCGTGCATCGAGTCAATGGGAGAGGTCGGTCATGGAGCGTTGCGCTTCTGATTTTACGCAAATAGCGAATATCCCTGGTCATTAAATGGCTCACATAACATTTTCGGACGTAATTTTTTTGGTAGAAATCATTTTTGATGTTATTTTTGGTGAGCCATGTACCTGAAGACCCGTTTTTATGCATTCTGTAGAAGAAATTACAGGTGCAAAATTTAAACGTCTGTGTTTCACTTCGTAAGACGGAGTTTTTAATTTTTCATGAGAGAAGAGGATAAATTATGAATTAAATCATTAAAATTTACATGTAAGTGCCACAAATACTCGACAATACCGACCCAGATATGAGCTGCAGCATCGGAGGTATCAATTACCGCCCGACTATATTTCACCGCATAAGCACCAGTCACGGCAAAGTCAGTTTCGAAACTTTGTCACAAGACATCATTCTTATGCACAAGGATCGGTGAAAAAACAAATGAAATACCATTTATGAATTCTTTGCAAATATTCAAGATCACTTTTAATTTAAATACATGTTTCCATTTAGAGGAAGGAGCAGAGATTTAGAGTAGAAAGAACATTCGGCAGCTAAAAAAAAAACATGTAACATGTCAGTCATCATCTTCTTCAGATTCGGTTTCTCCATCACTCTCATCCTCTTCTTCCGCTCCCAAACCGCATCAAACTTAAAAAATGAACAATGCAAAAAACTGCAAAATTCCAAAAATTTCCTGGTCTTGTAACCTTACAGCGTACTTGCAGTGTAATTAGTTTTGCACTGATTGCACATTGTTTACATCAAAGTAGGTGAAAAACTGAAAAGTATGTACTCATTTGAGAGAAGCATCAGTTATCCGAGTTCACCGGTAACTGCTCGCCCGATTTGCATGATATTGCTCGCGATCGCGGAGGGAAACAGATAAAATGGCATCATAGTCAGGGGCAAGGCAAGTGGAAGGGGGGGGGGTTTGCTGCTAAAAATGTTCTCAAGCCATCTGCGGATACGTCCCAAAAAAGCTTTCTAAGGAATATAGAAGGATTCTCGAGTGAAAATTTGCCCCATTTATTTTTTTTGGTCCTTCTATAGATAAGTAGTTGAGGAAATAATGAAAATATGTAAAACGGGCCAAATGCTCGTTTTGATGGTAAAAATTATTTTTCAGTTTCCAATGAACAGGAATCATACTTACCTGGGTCATTTAGCAGTTACGGGAGCTCACCGGTCGCTTGATTTTCGAGATAAAGCTTGCGCACAATCTCAGAAGGAAACAGAAAAAGTGACTTCACGCCACTTTACGGCCAAAGTGGCGCAAAGTGGCACCCAAATATTGCAAAATGTTATTCTCAGGACTCCTACGAAAATGCTTAAACAAAGTTTTCTGGGGGATGATGGCAGATGGGTAGTTAAAAGTTCACCTAAACTTTTTTTTTCTTGCTTTTTGATATGAGCACATTAGCGCAAACATAATCAACGAAAAAATGGGCCAAATACAAAAAATTACTAATGCAATGTGTTCTCCAGACTCTGAAGAATAAGAATCAATCAATGAAGTTAGCATTAATTTAAACGTAAGCAAGTTAAATGGAGTAGAAAGTCTCAGACGATTTGTCGCTAAAATTAAAAGTTATGCAAAGCCCCTTTTTGATGCCTTCTGTTATAAAAATGAACATGTTTTGTTCCAAATCAATGTCAGATCCTTTAAATATAACTCTTGAGGAACACTTTTGCCCTTTCAAAAATGCGATTTGCCCGAATCGCCCATGACCGACCTATACCATTGACTCGATCCACCGTGCAGTGTGGCCCAGGCCCACACAGATAATGGTCAGCTGCGCTGACAGCCAATCAGAGAGGGAGGTGGCTGCCGCCATTACAGGTGACAAGGGCTGCCAACCACACAACGTTCCGCTCTGAAAAAAAAAATTGGCGTTACTTGCCCTGTTAAAAATAATAAATTGGCGTTAATTGCTTCACAACATTTATATGGCGTTACTGGCCTAGTTAAAAATATTGATTTGGCGTTACTCGCCCTGTTCAAAATTGTAAACTGGCGTTAATTGCTTTACACACAATCATGTGGCGTTAATTGCGCTTGTGGCAATGATTATTTGGCATTACTCGGCTTATAAAAAAAAAAAAAAATCTTTTGACGTCAGCCGCCGTTGCAAAAATAATACTCCAGCGTTAGTCGCCTTTCTCCAAATAATTTACCAGTGTTAGTCGCCATTGTATCAAATAATAATCTGGCATTAGTTGCTCAAATACAAATAATTTACTGATGTTGGTCGCTATTGTAAAAATATTAATCTGGTATTAGTCGCCTTTGACACTTACAGCATTTGTTAGCCATACAGATCAATATATTATACTAACAGTCCTAAAATATTTAAAATCTGTTGATTAGTGGTTGTATCACAGCCCATTTCAACTGACTGATCAGCTTAAAAAAAAAAAGAATCACTTCAGGCCAGGCCAAATTTATTTCACTTTTCCGTACATAAAATCATCTTTAAATTCATTTTAACTCCTCTTCCTACATTTCTAAGATTTGGTACTTGATTAATTACATTAGGTTTTTGGCCTTCTTTTTGGTTTATACTTCGGGGCATCTCATTAGAATCTGTGTTAAACCCAAGAAAGTCACTGTCACTGGTAGACAGTACTGTGATATCACTGACCCTATCATTGTAATCATTGAGACTGGAAAATTGAGCTGGAGATTCAATTTCCTCAGACTTTTTAGCACTTGCGCGCTGGTTTGTTTCATCTACTTGTACCAGGGTTTCATTAGGTTCCAGTGAGTTGGGTGATCTATTATAGCTATTTGGAGTACTTACATTTTCCACATGATCTGCATGAGACACCGAACCTATATTGGACGCACCGTCATCCTTTTCTTGACTAGAATCGGTTTCCAAGCTCACAGCAGAATTTATTTGCTCAATCTTTTCTTCAATAATAACCAATGGCTCTACCCTGTCAGCAAACTTATCGCACAAGTAATACAGCTCATCAACTTCCTTAGAAATGAGGAATTTCTTTTTAATGTTTGTCCTAATGCAGTATAAACTATATAAGATCTAGGAAGATATTCAAGCTTTTTAACAATTTGAACAATGGTTCGTTTATTATTGTTTAAAACTAATACAGATCCATCAGCCGCTAATTCTGATTTTGACTTTGGCAATTGATCATAAAAATTTTTCATACTATTTTGGGATTTTTGAATGGCATCAGACACTTCAAGTGTTTCAGGTTTGAAGTGTTCCTTGCTTTTCGGCATTTTAGTTTTTTCCATCGAATCAAGACGGTCAAAAGTTTTTGAGCCAATACAGGGCCGAAAATACAAAAATCGATTTTGATTTCGAAGAGCCCTATAGAATAATTTCATTTTTAGCTGAAACAGTGCAGGAGACAACCCACTACGAGATCCTGAAGGAAACCTGCGTGGGCGAAGAGATCTCATTGAAATTTCCTCAGACTAACTAATCGTGCAGGATTATTCTTTCAGACCAAGAAAATAATCAATTTTTCTTTTTTTTATAAAAGATTTTATTTAAACTCCCTTTTCATCAATTTCATCTTGTCTTTGGATTTTTGACGCATGAATCAGGGACATGAATTTTCCAGTTTTGTTTTTCAAAAAAGTTATATTTTTATATATTTGGTTCGTCCAATTTTGACTAATCTATTTTTCCTCTCTAGAAATCAGCAAGCTTTTATGCCCTTTTCTTTTAGTTCTTAATAATTATCTTTTCTTCTAGATTTTGCAAGCCAACCGATGAAGGAAAGAGGCAGCAAAAAGTTCTTCAAATTCTAGAAAAATTAATTCTCCTTACTGTTCAAGAAAAAGAAATGTATCCATCAATTCAGGCCAAAATTTGGGGATCAATTGGGCAGGTAAAGTGCAGTAGTCTTATCTTTATTTTTCATCCCTCATAAAAGAATACAATTTCTCTCAAGAGGAGCTATTACTATGTGGTTGCATTTTTTTCCTTTTTTCGTTTTTCATTTCTGGAAACTGAAGTGGAGACATAACCTAGTTGGATGATGATCACATCTAAACATCATGCAGAGGTATCTTACTTTTTTCACTTCTAATTTGAGGACTTCTTTGGTAGAAGGGGTGAACCAAAAATTGTAGTTTTGAGAAAAACACATTCTAAATGGAGTTCATTCCGTACTTAGAAACTGAAATTTTTAGCTTAGTTTAGAAACATGGTTTGTATCATTAGTTTACTTATGTACATAAGTGTTCCCACCGATGAGCCAGAAAATGTAGTTCCTAATGGGCCTGTTGCAAATTTTTGCTAGAGCAAAACTAAGAGTTGTTTCTTATAGATATTGCCTCAAAAATCACGATGAGCGCATCGGCAAAGTCTGAAATGCACTCATAACTGTACAGTCTTCGTAAAAAATTTGCGGTTCTTTGAGCTTCCCGCTTCAAAAACGATACTACGGCACAGGTGAACATTTTGTAAGAGGAGTCGTTCCATCGTCGGCAATACTCATCATGGCCGACGCTAATCCGCCAAAACACGTGTGATGGGACGAGATAACACCTGAACTGGATTAGACCAGATAACAATCGGCGTGTTAGCGTTCATATTTTCCACGCCCGAATTGATTGACCTTGAACTCTCCTCGAATTACGCGCGGAACTGGGCGCAAGCGTCGGCCATGATGAATATCGCCGACCATAGAGCGACTCCTCTAACAAAATGTTCACCTGTGCCGTATAGTCCAGGCAATAGGGAAGTTCTTGGGGAAAATTTCCCGGAAAACTTTTTGATGAGTGATTCCTGTGTATTTTTGGACGCTGAATCCGAATTTCGCATTTGTGTAAAGATCTTTTCGCCGCTAAAGCCGCCATTTTGAAAAAATGGCCTAAAATCTCAGTTTTTGAAAATATCTCGCTTAATTTTGATTTTTTGACCAAAGTAGTTATTTTCAAAAATAAACTACATTCAATTCTAAAGAAAAGATGCCCTTATCAATTTTTTGATATGACTGAAATTTAAGCCGCCAGAGCGCGCTGAAAAAACCGCCAAAATTCGAATTTCGCGAAACTTGCGCTTTTCTCGTGAATAACTTTTCTCGGGGCGACTCTACGTGAAAAATCTTAACTATCAAACTTATAGAGCAACAAATGTGATACTAGGAGTTGCTTTTTTTAATTTTTCTTAATCCTGGACGGCACAGACAAGCTTTTGAAGTTGCACTGAAAACCGAGCATGGACAGGGTTCGCCAGTATCTGCGAAATTACTCTTCTGTGGACTTTTCTAGGGGGCTTATTTACGAGTCAGATTGTAAAATTTCATTGGAAGGTGACCCCCCCCCCCCCCCGAAGACCCCCCAATATTAAATGTCTCAAATTACCCCCCCCCTCCCTACTCTGGCAATTACCGCTATTGGCGAAATTCATTTTAGTGTATAAAACGTGAATACAATGATTTCATCGGTGATATTTCGAGCAAAAGTTTATGTTAAGTTAATTTACAACACATGGAAAAAAAATGGAAACACTGATTTGCATGACCTTTCTTATACATCAATACATCATAGCAACCTCTGTCGGAGACGAATGAATGTCCATCGACAAGTTGCAACTTAAGCTTACAAGCTATGACCATAAGCTATAAGCCCCAAGTCTTGTACAACCGAGAAAGTGTTGGCGATGAAATAATCGCGGATATTATTCTTTTAATTCACGCTTTTACTGGGTGTGATACTACCTCGGGAATTATCAATCAAGGAAAATTCAAATTATTGAATATTTTTTTAAAAAAAATTACTAATTAATCAAATATGCAGAGGAATTTAAAGACTCGAAATCAACACATGAAATCATTTCTGCTGCAGGCTAGAAGCTGTTTCTTGCACTTTATGGCCAGAAAGACATTGAGGAAGTTTCTCTTAATATGTACAGATACGACTGCTTTATAAAATCTTCATTTCAAAATAAACAGAACCTTGGGTCTTTGCCACCAACTGAGGACGCTGCAGCAGAGCATGCATTCCGAACTTATTTGCAGGTCCAGGAGTGGCACGGCAAGAAGGATCCTTGCAATTGGGGCTGGAAAGCCACCAAAAATGGGCTAACGCCTTTAACAACTTTGGATTCATCAGCTCCCGAAAATATTTTAAAGCTAATTGCCTGCAAGTGCAAGAAAGGTTGCAGCAAGACTTGTGGGTGCCGTAAAAATGGCTTACGATGCACCATTCTCTGTCAGATGTGCAATCAATCCTGCGATAATTCTCAAATGGAAGATACCCTACACGGAGAGGAAGAGGAAGGAGACATCGATGAACCGAAAATTATGACATTCTTAGATGATAATTGAATCGGGACGTGCGAAAACCGCTAATGTCCATTTTTCCAGTCTTAAGTATTTTGGAGTTCATAATATTTTTAAAGAGTCGATACAACCATAAAAGTGATGAAAGGACTCATTTTGAGATCAAGGAAATCTAGGAAATCCAGGATGAGTTTTAACGCCATTTTTGTGGTTACAACCAACTCCGAAAAGTAATATGAACTCAAAAAAACTTAAGCTTGGAAAAATGGACATTAGCGGTTTTCGCACGTCCCAATTCAATTAGGATTGTGAACCTGGCTCATCTACGCCATCGACGCCAGTGCCTGATCAAAAATATGAAACAGAAAGTGAATATGACGAAAGTGACCTTGAAATTGAGGAACCAGCAACAAGGGTACTGCGCTCAAGCAAAGCAGTGCAACATGTTGATCCGGAATCATCCGATCAAAAAAGCAAGAATTCAGGTGTGCCACAATCTGATCTCACGAAAAATTCAGGACTATCTACAATACGCTGTAGAAAATAATTACGTAGATGAATGATTTGCATTTTATAACTTTGTATGCACAATACAATTTCTTCAAAAAATGCTTAATTTGTGAAAATTAAGAAAACTCTGAAATGTTTTTATTTGAAACTTTAAAAAGCTATGCAAATGTAATAATACAGTCCGTCTACTTCAAAGTAGGCTTTTTTCCGTCCATTTCCCCTATTCCCGTACAATAAGAGGCAATTATTCATGAGAACTTATAGAAATTACCGGATGAATTATTGTTCCTCGAAATATCACCGATGAAATCATTGCATTCACGTTTTATACACTAAAATGAATTTCGCCAATAGCGGTAATTGCCAGAGTGGGGAGGGGGGGGGGTAATTTGAGACATTTAATATTGGGGGGTCTTCGGGGGGGGGGGAGGGGTCACCTTCCAATGAAATTTTACAATCTGACTCGTAAATAAGCCCCCTAGAAAAGTCCACAGAAGAGTAATTTCGCAGATACTGGCGAACCCTGTCCATGCTCGGTTTTCAGTGCAACTTCAAAAGCTTGTCTGTGCCGTCCAGGATTAAGAAAAATTAAAAAAAGCAACTCCTAGTATCACATTTGTTGCTCTATAAGTTTGATAGTTAAGATTTTTCACGTAGAGTCGCCCCGAGAAAAGTTATTCACGAGAAAAGCGCAAGTTTCGCGAAATTCGAATTTTGGCGGTTTTTTCAGCGCGCTCTGGCGGCTTAAATTTCAGTCATATCAAAAAATTGATAAGGGCATCTTTTCTTTAGAATTGAATGTAGTTTATTTTTGAAAATAACTACTTTGGTCAAAAAATCAAAATTAAGCGAGATATTTTCAAAAACTGAGATTTTAGGCCATTTTTTCAAAATGGCGGCTTTAGCGGCGAAAAGATCTTTACACAAATGCGAAATTTGGATTCAGCGTCCAAAAATACATAGGAATCACTCATCAAAAAGTTTTCCGGGAAATTTTCCCCAAGAGCCCCTATTTGATGCCCAATTGCCTGGACTAGTAGTATCGTTTTTGAAGCGGGAGGCTTAAAAAAACGCAAATTTCTTACGCAGATTGTGAAGTTATGAGTACATTTCAGACTTTGCCGATGCGCTCATCCTGATTTTTGAGGCATTATCTATAGGAAACAACTTTTATTTTTACTCTAGAAAAAGTTTGCAACAAACCCATTGCAAAATGAAGTCCACACATTAAAAAGCATATATTCTCTGAAATAGTTGGACTGAACCGTGCCCTTAACGTTACTTTTGTGTTCAGAATTTTTGAAAATAAGTGTGCATAATTACAGTTGTCTGGTACAAACGGTTGTTCTACAGTAAAACTTCGACAAAAACATTTTGTACGCCCTTTAACTATTGAACGACTTCCTTTTGCTAAGATGATTTGTTTCTTTATCATTTATGTTGTTGTATTTCAATGTTAATAGTGAGTAAAAGGGGTGGAATGTAGGAAAAATGTCTCATTTTTCATTTTAACCCGAAAATAAGAGAAACTTAAGCCACAGTTCATAAACCATGGATGTGTAAATAAGACAAGTGCAAAAATGCCCAATATGCGAAGCAGTGCGGTGATATGCTGTCTTTTATGCACAGAAACACTGCAAAAGAGGTGTGTAAAATAACGCCCCAAAAATGCCTCAACGCATTTTCGAATTTTGAACGCTTGATGTGACAAAGTACCCCCTGAGACGCCTAAAACCGGTTGCAGTTTTGTTGCCTACCTAAACCTAACTAACTACCGAACCGAACCTACCGAAACCTAACTCTAGGTTTCAGGAATTTTCGTCCAATTGTTTTCGTCCTAGAGAATTTTATTCCAATAAATTTTGCCCAGCTCCACTTAGTCCAGTAAGTTTGGTCCGATATTTTTTGGTCCAATCGGTAAAATGGCCCTTCGTTTTAGGTCCAATCGTTTTTTGTTTTTTTTTGTCCTTAATATAAAGTTTTTCTTTTCGACCAAGAACATTGCACAACAGGAATGAGGTACATGAGGTATTAGTGACATGTGAGACAAATATCAACGTATGATTTTAAAATTGTCGAAGGCTTCCATT